AAAAAATGAAACATTACATTCAAATGGTCGTGAAAAACATTAGAAAAAATGAAACATTACATTCAACTGGTCATGAAAAACAAACTTTTTTGTAATATAAAATGAAAAACTACAGTTTCTAATCACGCTACATAAAAACTACAATTTCAAATCACACAGAAAAAAATAAAATAAAAAAACTGAAAACATAAAGATTATTCTACACGGTTTTGTAAAAGTTTGTGAACGGTTCTAGACTTTTCACCTCAGACTCTTGCATTGATTCGTACATATTGTAAACAGTTTCAACAACATTCTGCTCAAATCTGAGTTGAAATAACAAAGTCTGTGTGATGACTTTTATTGCGTAATCATCCACAAACAAACCACGAGCTCTGAGAATCAGCTGGACGGTGGATACAAACTGCTCCTTCATGACCCGGTTCGAGATTTCAGCATAATGAGCTCTGGAAAATGCGTTCTCGTCTCGTACCATCATACAAAGATGCTGTAACTGGCTGGGATGATTTATAATGCACCCATTACATATTTCCTGAACATAAGAGTCCAGAGTCATGTTCAACAGATGAAGGATGGCCATTTTAGCTGTTCGAATCACCTCCGAATCCAGCCAATCGCCACAGGCAGCGGTGCTGCTYGACRGTTCCCGCGCTGGCGAAGCTGGAGGAAGTGAGGTCTTTTGAGGCTCGGAGGCTGCAGCGGGCGAAGCTGGAGGAAGTGAGGCCGCTGCGGCCTCCGCTCCGAACGAAGCAAACAGGTCCTGAGAGGCCGCTCCGGGCTCTGCTCCGGGCTCCACTGGAGGCTCGACATCCACGAGCGAGATTTCCGGTGTTGCTTCCGAATCGTCAGTGGTGTGTGGAGGTAGGTGAGGAGTTGCTGAGCTGAGCCATCTCACTATGTCCTCAGCTAACGATTCGCTGCAGGCGCACTGGAACTGATCCGCCTCCGCTTCCTGTTCCAGCATCTGCAGATCTTCCGCGCAGAGTAACGGAAGCTGAAGATGTTCTTCTTCTTCGACTACCGGGAGCTGCAAGCTGCGAGGGGTTGTAGCCGGCTGTGGGGATGAAGGCTGGTAACCCGCGAAGTAGTCGGGATGTAGCTCCTGCGGCTGTGGCGTGGAGGCTCGGAGGGGAGAACCCATCAAGTCTTCGGGCGGATCAGCGGTACTCACCCCCCAGAACGCCGCAAGAGATGACTGTCGGAACGGTCGGTACATTTTTCTTCACGGTCTTTTGGGTCGGAACTTGTWGTTTGACTCGTGCCGCGTTCGTCTTCTTCTTAAAATATAGAGAGCGGAAGGGGGCGGAGCTGGAACTAGGGGATGGGGTGGAGCTGCGGGTGTGTGTGTGTGTGTGTGTGTGTGTGTGTGTGTGTGTGTGTGTGTGTG